ATCAAACTCCTGAATTGTTGACGGAAATCCTAAAATATAGTTTTGGTTAGAAAAAATTGAGATGACGGTATTAACTATTGTACAGTACAATCCTAAGGTATTCCATCCATTCCAGACTGCCGGATTCAAAATAAGCAACTACCTAGCTCTACTTCTGGCAAGAATTGATCAAACTAGCTCACCAACAGCATCTGGTAAATTCCACACCCACCATCCTTACTAGACATGTTTTGCCGTTCGATTGTCGTGATCATCGTTTTCTAGGGTTTTTATGGTTATAGACATTGAGTCATTGTTTTCCCGGAAAAAAATTTTGAACAAGGCAAAGGCGACGAAACATGCAGAATTTATTGACGTCATTGAATTTCGTGACCTCTTATTCAACTGCACAACGGTCATTACGTATTTGTAGGATAAGGTATGCTGTTTAATCAGAGATGGGCCTAGCGGGATGAATCATGATAGGTAAATAAAATATGGCGAGGAGGATAGAGGGGAGGGAAGTTATCTAAGCAAGCGAGTTTACATTACGGTGAAAGCATGTCAGGCGGGAATAAAATTCAACACGCAGGACGACAGTCAATCATGCGGGGGGGAGTGCGAATGAGAGAACGGGTGTGGAAATAAGGTACCCAGGAGCTCAATTACGAAGCACCTAGTGGGCACGGGCCACACGGTGAACCCGATGACTGCATTTCAGGTCCTACTTCGGGCGACGACTGGGCGTCTCCTGCGCCTTGTTGAGGCCGCTGCAATACGGATGGAAAAACCAGAACTCTGTAAGCAGCTGGATCATGTGATCAACCTTGCAGTGCCATGGTAAGGATCGACAATGACATAACTCAGTCCCACACCCGTTTTCTCATTCCCACTTTCTCCCCCTCATGACTGACTGTCGTCCCGCGTGTTGAATTTTATTCACGCCTGACATGCTTTCACCGTAATGTAAACTCGCTTGCTTAGATAACTTCCCTCCCCCTCTGTCTCCCTCGCCATGTTTTATTTACCTATCATGTTTCATCCCTCAAGGCCTATCTCTGATTGAACAGTTTAACTTATCTTACAAATACGCAATGATCGTTGTGCAGTTGAATAAGAGGTCACGAAGTTTAATGACGTCAATAAATTCTGCATGTTTCGTCGCCTTTGCCTTGTTATAGGCATTGTCCGAAATCCATTATCATTAAATACAGATGTGATCTCTGTGACACTGCAGACTATGGGGGAAGAGGGGCTATGTACATTTTAATGTCGGATGCTTGCAGGCATCGTGCGGGTTGGAACATGTCTCGCAAGCAGGATAAATCGCTAATTACCACTCCTCCGTGACCACTGATGCTGCAGCCGTTGCTGCCATTGCTACCATCATTCTCACCACGGTTAGTACTGCAAGTATAATTGCTCGTGCCAGGTTTACATCCCCACAATCAACTTGATTACTATTATTAACTGGGTATCTGCGGTACTGCAACGGTAGCTTAAACTGGCACTCGGAAAGATGCGCCTAGATAAAGAGAAGATGTTCTAGAACATCGAAACGGGAGATTTAGTAGAATATTTCCGAGCGGGACACGTGGGAATGCTTCTGAACTCTTATCCGCATCGAAGAGGATCAGTTGCACTTATCCTTGGAATTTTGTGAAGCAGAATGCATTCACACACCAACGAAAGCATCTTAGTTTAATTCTAAGCCTAGAGAACGTGGACATTGGTATTCTCGTCTGCCAGGTGCATTCGGCTCTTTTACTATGCACGTCCCATCCCATGACAGACAGATGTCGCATATTGGGCAAGCGGATTTTGGCATAGAAAACTGTCCCTAAGAGAAATGAGACCCTTTTGCACTTTGATATGCTGTCTTTGACAGCTGAAAGTAAGTTTACTTGGACATTACCGTTCACTTTTTCATATCCCAAAATGGACGCCGCATTTCTAGTGATACTTTTCCCCCGCACAACGTGATGTCATAGAGACCAGTCACTCATTTTTCTCCCATCTTGTAGTCCACAACAAGCACACCTGCCGAACTTACTTCCTCAACCTCCGGCAGCAGTAGCAGTGCTGGTGGACCTGAAAGCGCAGACAGTATGGCCGTCACCAACGCAAAACTCATTAAAGCTGTCCTAGACGCGAAGATCTGCCTGCTGCTTAATTCCCCCCATGTAATGACCTTCCTGCAGGGTCGACAACGCCTGCTGGAGGAGTACAAGCGGGCCACCGATCTATTCAGCGTTGCCAACACTACCGGCAGCACGAATCACCTCTGTGCCAGTGACCTGACTCTTTCCGCCAAGGCCCCTTGAGATGGGCGTACAGTTGTGATGGTGGTAATGGTCGTGAAACGGAAGTCCGTATAATTCTATCATCATTCCGTGCATTTATTGCTTGCAGCAGTTGACAATCAGATGTCCGCACCTTTTCTACTTGCGATACGACTTTTTAATCCTCTGCCCTTTCGTATTTTGTTCGACAATATAGCCTTTACGTACGTTTTTACGCAATAAACTCCGCCGTCACTCAGACTGCTCCCAATCGCCCTCTGAGGACGATTTCGGAAGTGATCGCAAGTGCTTCAACACCAACTAATTGTGAGGAGGACGCGCCGCAGGTGATTTAGTTTTCTTAATCCTTACTGGATAGGCGGGTTTTTAGAAAGGGGTTCCCTGCTACGCGGAATAACTGCTACCGAAACTTCGAAATTTGATTATGCAGATGACAAGCACTCATAAACAGAATGGTCGAATTAACCCCAGAGCGTAGCATGAGCCTCATGAGCTATTACATTCATTAGAGGAAATTATTCGCTCCGTGCGAACCCACTTGAAATAAATTATCAGAAACCTTAGATCTCAACCCTCCATGAACGGAACGGGCTTAAGTTCTTGACGGTAATTAACCGAAATTTTACATCTTACGAAGTAGAGTGGAGGTGAAGACCCAAGTTGACGAAGGAAGGGTATGTAACCACCTTGGGTGTTTGTTGGGAAACCTACTTTCTTATTCAAACATGCGGTTCATAATGGTCTGCCTGACAATGGGTCGCCAAGGGGGACATGCGCTACGGGGATTTTCATTTTCACTAACGTTACTGAAGTTAAAGTTGCCCATATCGGCCTCAAGGTTAGGACTGAGGTCATGGTTAGGGTTGGCGTCAGGAGTTGGGCTATCCCTAGGGCTAGGGCTGACAGGCTTGGGCTATGGTTTGGATTTGGGGTTTTAGGACTTGGGCTAGATTTGCGCTTACGCTCGAGCGTCCACTGAAGGCTTGCGGGTCAAGGGTTGGGGTTACCCACTACAGGCATGACCACGGCTGGCGTTAGGGTTGTATTCAAGTATAGTTTTCACAGTGGATGGTATACCATACCTATGCCCCCAAGTCGGACAAGTCGGAGACGTCGTTGTCGCGTCATGGGGACAAAGTCGACTAAACACGTGTCTGGGCTCTTGACAAGTACCCGTGCTGAGAGTATGATGAGTCAGCCAGCATCTATTTATCACTGACTACCTGTTGGCTGACTTCGAGTATCAGGTTATTACTTCGCTGAGGCAGATGCATTCGGCTCGAGTATTCATATCAACATGTGGGCCGAATCTGTAGATGTCTTGGCCGGAGAATTCAAGTTCGCACACCAGTTTCCCCGGAAGTTAGGAAGCCGAATATTAAATGTCATAAGCTTCGCTGGGGCCGTGCTTATTAATATTTCTGGGCTTCAGGTTTTACCATGTATCACCTCCGTAGGGTAAGGATCAGCGAACTGTCGCCGTATAAGCAGTAGTAATACAAGCATATAAGCAGAAGTAATGTGCGGAAATTACGGTGAGCTCATCACCCCCCCCCCCCCACTATGATGTCGCGGTACTGGCAGCCTTGGCTTAAGAAACCATCTAAACCCCTACGACCTCAGGTCGGCGTATTTCTTGAGTTTTCGTTTTATTGTTTGCTGAAGGTAGGATCGGCCTACTATGTTTTCAAATTGCCAACAACGATCATAGTGTTTTTTAAGCGATACGGTCGAATCCCAGTGGCCAGTCGAGTGCGTCTCTAGAGCTGCGTCACTGATCCTTGATTGGCTCATAGCCCCTAAAACTGCTGCTTGTCCCGTTGCCGCTTTCATCTCCGAAGACGGACTCCCGTACGTGTTCGGAAGTACAAATAAAATAATGGTTCCGACGATCGGATAGTCTGCATCCCTACTCGCAAGTCGTTATTATTTGACCATAACTTCCTGTCTTCCTACTAACGACTCGCTCAACCACCGACAAAAGTCCCCGTTAAGATTAATCACTGTTGAGATAGTGCGCTTGTTTTCACTTGCGCGCTTAATAACCTTTCGTAGAAAGACCAAGAAGGCACTTATTGCGGTTGCTTTGGGACAGTACTTGCAAATGTATGTCCCAAAGTATGAAATGGCTAAACTTTCGTCGGAGTTCCGTGACCCAAAGGATCCATGCCTTTGTCCGCAAGCATTCCCGCCTCCGTAGACCGTAGGCCCTCAAAGACAAAGCGGAATGATTCCGTACTTCATCCAGGAATAAGGATAAATCAGTGCATGCCATTCCCATACGACTATATTCCTGACCGGCGCTGCTAGTGGTTGAGTGGCTCGGGTCCGGACGTTGGGTATGCAGCCTTGGGGATCCACTGGTTGACGGTGTCAGATCGTCCAGAAATGACTGTTCCAGGGCCTTTATCTTTGTCTTCAAGATCTGATTGGTCTTTGTCTAGACATACAAATGTTAGTCGTTGGAAGTAAAACCAGTACTGGTCAGTAAGACGTTATGTAATTGCAGCACGATCTCTAATCTGTGGGTGGGCCTGAATAGGATCCCGGACACAGGAGTGCTGAAACGAACTAGAATCCACTGCATCCACGCCATTTTCAGGAAACTGCAACTATAACGGAGTGGCCACTCGCGAGGATGGAGGATGCTCGCTTACCAACATAACTTTAATGGCGATGTCGTTACGGGTGCTCGCAGGCAACGGAGTCGAATCCGCCGAAGAACCTGAAACGGATACAAATGAACTAGAAGATTCGGGAAGGCTCCGCACAAAAACTACTGGCCTGGGGGAGAGAAGTGAAGACTGGAGCAGCCGTCGATGACAAAAACCGGATTGCCACTGCCAAAGCCAAGGGGTGAATTTGAAGATCCCAGGCACTCCCGACCCGCAACATAAACGCTAAACCACATCCAATATGCTCACGTTGTCGGCGGCATTCCGCGTGCGGATCGGCCTCGCTGAACATCTGACCCAACGCACCAAACTCCCGACGACCACAACTGCTGTCCTCACGATCGCCCCTGCTCCAAGCTCCACGTGGACTACGACGACGTCCACTTTGACCACTGTTATCCCGTACTGCACCACCACCACCACCACCACCACCACCACCACCACC